CTTCCACACAGCTGTTCTGGAAAAGGTCCAGCAGGTGCTTGGCACCCTGGCTGTCAACAGAGATGTGTGACAAGACCATCAGCACACTTCCCTGAGGTCTTGGAGTGGCTTTTGCTCTCCTTCTTTGAAGAGCCCTCAGAGAATGTGACACAGAAAACATGTTTTCCAGTGGCTTGAGGTCGCAGGGACATTACTGTCAGGCTATGAGGAGCCTAAAAGCCCATAACAACCCAACGAGTTCACAGAGGAACTTCTGCTGCTGTTGCTTGCTCTAAATTTCTGAACTTTAGGACTTCTCACTAAAGACTCTACTTGCTCACCAAACATTCTGGATGTGAGTTTCCAAATGATAGGCTCAAAGAATTTTGAATTAGAAGGAATTTTTGAAAAATGTTTTAACATGCTGAAATAAAGTATATTCTCTTCAATTGAGAAGAAAGGATCTTAAGGACCGTATAGCCCCAACTGGCTAAGGATGATCTCCATATCATTTGAACACCTCGAGTGATGGAGCGTTAATTACCCTACATCATTGGACAGTATTAGTACAAATATTAAAAATGCAAGTGTAGGCCGGGCATGGTGGCTCAAGCCTGTAATCCCAGCGCTTTGGAAGGCTGAGGTGAGAGGGCTGCCTGAGCCCATGGGTTCAAGAACAGCCTAGGCAACTTGGCAAGACCTCATCTCCACAATAAATCAAAAAATTAGCTGCGCGCAGTAGTGTGCACCTATAGTTCCAGCTACTTGAAAGGCTGAGGCAGAAGGATTGCCGAAGCCCAGCAGGTCGATGCTGGGGTGGCCATGAGCATGCCACTGCACTCCAACCTAGGCAACAGAGTGAGATTCCAACTCAAAAAAAAAAATGCAAGTGTATAGTCAAATCAATTATCTTACTCCTATTCAAGTGCCATAAATCAGGCTTTATAAATATGAATTGACTTTTAATTTGAAGTTATTCAGAAAGAATACAGCACTATTCATTGAGTAAAATCTTCAAAGTTAGCTAACTACTTGTGTTGATGCTGCATTACATGTAATCTAAGTCTACTGCATTGCAATTTTTTCATTTCTTCATTTCATTTTATATATCTAAGTTCATTATTTTTCAATTTTCACTTAACTCAATGTGTATTTGTTATTCTTGGTGCAATATTTTATATTATATACTCTCATTATAGGGTGACATTAGATCCCAGTTACCTAAAATCTTCCAGGTTTATACATCATTATCTTGATATAAATTTTAACAGAGCCCTTTTCGCTCTAAAAGTGTCCTAGTTTGGGAGACAAATTTATGGTCAAGAATTACACTTCAGAGTTTTAAATATTTTTTTTAATTGCATTAAACATCTCCACAAATTAAGATGGAAATCCTCTGCCCTCCATTTTCCACTCTTCTCAATAAGCTTTAATTTGATTTTGAAATGACCAATCTTCCTGACTATGAAATACTTTTAATGCAATGAGTAACTGCACAACCGCCTCCACAGAGAGGCTGGGGCCTGGCCCTGCGCGTGGTCAGAGTGGCCCACAGCCAACAGGCTGTCACTTTCATTAAGATATTGAAAGCCGGAGAGAACCTTTCTGAGACAGGCACAGCACGCTGCCGAGAAATGTCCTCATACCTAAGGAAGCATCCCTTCTACTTCGCCATATTTCTTTCATCTCTGGGAGCCTCGGTTTGTCTGCCTATAAAGAGCACAATGATGCCCACTTCACAGGGCCACGGGCAGGATGAAGGGGGGTGGCAGAGGGCACACTCAGCCACCAGGAACAAAGGCGGTGAGTAATCGCGAAATGTGCGGTGCGCATCTCCAGCGTGTGAGGAGAGGGCTCCCACGGACTTGAAAGGGAGCATCACACACTGGCAGGAGAAACCCCCCAGGAGGACAGAGCCCATTATCTTCCGTATCATTGTCCGAAAGTGCAGAAGAGAGGGAGAGCGACAAAGGAACCTGAGGCTGGCGGGGGCGAACAACAAGACCATGGAAAAAAACTAACTGACGCACTATACAAGGGAGTCTGAAAAAAAGAATGAACGTCTTGATTTAAAAATAATCTGTGAAGACTGTATGCCAGGAACAGTTTGCAAGGAGCCATCTATCCATTCTCTGATCCCTCGAGAGAACCCGTTTAGGTACAGGATGCCTTTATCCCACACTCTGCCTATCCTTTCTTACATTTCACATTCGAACCCAAAACCCTAATGGCACTTCCATGGTCACTTGAAGTGTGGATCAAGCTTCATGGTTCCTATTTAAACAGCATTCTGTAAGGTACAAGCAAATGATTAACCAACACATAATGAAACCGGAACTGGTGATACTATTTTAGCACAAAATATTAATACCTCCAAAGACTGAAGAACGGGTTTGGACAAGTACAAAGTGCCATCAATGTCTTGGTTGCCTCACAGACAAGTAGATGTAAGACACTTTGCTGTACATGAATACATGCTACTAACATCAAATGGCAAAAGACGGTAATAGGAGATGTTGCCCCAAGCAAGCAGTATTTTCCCAAGCACTCTGGAAGACGTAGAAGTTTACAAACCAATTTACTAAATTGGCTTGATGGAAACCATACTTTTGTACATGAAAGACATCTCAGAATCTACCAGGTCCTCTCAGGGCTCCTTAGAACAGTGCAGAGAGAGAGAGAGAGAGTCAGGTGACTTCGTGAAAAGAATTCAGGGTGAATTAGACATGGGTTCAAACTCTAGCTCCACCAACCACCTGCCTGGCCAAATGCTTCTGGACGAGGCATATGACCTCACAGAGAAGATTCCAAGAGCCCACCCGCCTTGCAAGGTGCTGGCAGGATGAAATGCCCAATAAATCCCAAAGAACCAAACACTGAGCAGAGTTTGATCTTTTCAGTGCATCTATAAACAACCCAGAATGGCAGAAGCCCACCCCCAAAAAGCCCCAAATCCCTCACTCCACTGTGGGCAAGGTGGACAAGTGATAGAAAGTGAGAACGGTTTTGAAAACATTAACATGAAATGCTTGCATATACTTCACCAAAACAGGGCCTTAATTTAAGTATCTGGAAGAGCCAAAACACAGTTCTAAAGTAAGACTTCTTAGATGTCAAACGTATTCTATTTTATGATCTGAATAATTCGGCGACTTCTATATCATTCGCTTGTAGAAATAATGTACGTGATTCATCTCTTTTAAAACCACACATGTTGGCCGTTCACAGTGGCCTCCCGGGGCTGTGTCCTGCCCAAAGAGCCTTCGGTCCTGAACATGTAAGGGATATAAGCAAAGGGCCCAGAGCTGCAGAGATCTCAAGGCTTACCCTGTCAGCCTTCTCACAGAAAAACTGAGGGCTGGAGAGAGAAAGCTGCTAGCCCAAAATCAAATAATGAAGGCAATGGGTTAGGATTTTTTAGTAAACCAAATCTGTGACCAAAAAAAAGGTCTTGCCACAGAGCCTTATTCCCTGGCATTTCTAATTATATATTCAAACAATGCCATCAGCCCATCTGGTACTGGGTCTGCCCTTCAAGAAAGAAGTTTTCCTAGAATATCACAACAGAGGGAAACCCTAAGATAGGTCAGTGTCATTTCACATTTTCCAATATGACACAGGACCTAGTTTCTAGTCTGTCTGAGGGTTGGCAAATCTGAGAGATGGAAAAAAAAAAAATCATCAAAAGAACTCTTTGAACGTTGATATATATGACATTTGCTGTCCCATGATAACAGACACCATGCCAGGATAGGAAAGTTAGCAAACCAAACAATTTAGCACACATTTTAGAGTGTCCACTGTGCCTTCTTCTATGAAATCAAATTCTTCATTTAAATTTCAGAGAATAATGCTTTCTAATCACTGGTCTATATATTTTAAAAGGTGGTAGTCCACGCAGAGCAAGATTTACTAACAGTTAGGTAGAATTAGGTCCCTGTTTCATAATTATCCAACTGCTAATCCTCACTGATGACTAATTCTGGTTCCATCTCTGGGATTAAGGGAACATTCTATCTTGAATGTGCTAATTTACAGACCAGGTTGTTCTGAGGCTAATTTCCAGTTCAAACACATTTCGGTGCTTCAAAGCAGTTTTGTACCCTCACAGGAGACTACCGTCGAGACCAGAATCAGACAGAAGCTATGGGAGGCACAAAATCAGGGGTCTTCACAGAGCCTGTATAAAAGCTGAGTGGAAGGAACCAGAGGTGACAGTTGAATGTCCAGCTGAAATTCCAGAGGCCAGAGGTGGTCATCCTTGAGAGGGCAACACAGATGGGCCCCAGGGCATTGTAGGAGAGAAGGGGATGGTGGTAGTAAGCAAGGGAGGGAAAGGAGAGAGAAAGGAAGGGAGGCGAAGAAAGTGCCACATGCAGAGACATTCTGAAGGAGGTTTAGGTAACATGAGGAACGGAGGTGAGGAGACACAGATTTAAAAGAAGCCTTTGCCAAATGGTTTGGAATTTAACAGAGAAGTTCTGTTCAATCACATAATTAGATATTGTAGGTGTGCACTCAGGATTGGACATTACTCTGCCAAAAACATTCTTGATTAATGTTTTCTCTTAAGGAATGTGCTCAATTCATGATAGAGAAGGAAGAGACCGTTCAATTAGATTGATTTTTGTGGGATAACAAGTCAAGACTACTTGAATCCCAGCCTCTAACAAACTTATATATCCACGTGGGGGCTGGGGGGGGGGAATCCCTCCTAGCAAAGATAAACTCAGTCCCTAAATTAGCAGGTTAATTCACAGTGTGGACATAAGAAATTGCAAATACTCAGTTAGATATCCGGCTGTCAACATGAGAAAAGAAAGCACACTAAGTTCTGTAGGATACGATTTCCAATCCCAGAAATTACGAAGATAGAACTCCACAGTTATCTTGGCTGTAACGACTTGTAAATATCTAGAAGAGCCCAGATTTTGAAGCCCTGAGGACACTTGCTAAAACTAAAAATTTTGGCTCTAGTCTTTGCACACAATTTAGGTTTTCTTTCAGAGTTGATATCTTACCAAATACAGCCATCTGTGTTCCCTCTGGAAAAGGTTCGACTGTTCTGTTGCCATTGACATGATGTTTGGCTAGAAAAAAAAAAAGAAAAGAAAGAAATGCAAGTTTAAGTGTAAAGTTCTAACACATACTAACACATGTTATTAAATGTGTCAATGAGCCTATTTCTCATTGTGAGTTAGAAACGCACCAAAGTTTACCCTCTTAAGACAGTTTTGATTATTTGTTTTTAATCTCAGTTACAGAAGGACCTAGAGATCACTTAGTTAAGGTACATCATCTTACAAATGAGCATGTCAAAGCCTGAGCTTGTGCAGAGCTGGACAGCAGATAGTGACAAGGCTATCCCAGCGTGAAATCTGTCTTCTAGCCAGGAGATCTCATTGTCCCAGAACATCCCCTGGAGAATAAGGGAAGTTCCAGTCTGTACTGGGAGTGACTTTCCTCTGAAAATTCCTAACAAACAGAACATTCAGCCAGACATGGTGGCCCGTGTCTGTAATCCCAACACTTTGGGAGGCCAATGAAGGAGGAAAGACCAGGAGTTCAAGACCAGCCCAGGCAACATAGCAAAGACCTCATATCTACAAAAAAAGAAAAAAAATCAAAAAAATTAGCCAGACATAGTGGTGTGTGCCTGTAGTTTCAGCTACTTGGGAGTCTAAGATTGGAGGATTGCTTAAGCCCAGGAGGTCATGGCTACAGTGAGCTGTGATGGTGCCACTGCACTCCAGCCTAGGCAATAAAAAATTAAAAATTAAAAAAAGGAACACTGGTGCAATCAGTATTTAAAGTGAGAAGTAAAAAGAGTGGGGTACCATTGAAACTTCTTTTTCAAAACATGGACTAGAAGAACATGTCATTTCACTATAATGCAAATACTGTTCCCAGAAGCCAAAGACACTAGCCTTCTTAAGGGCCATTAGGGCCTCGCTCTGTTGTCCAAGCTAGTCTCAAGCTCCTCACCCCAAGCGATCCTCCCACCTCAGCCTCCCCAAGCTCTGGTATCACAGGCATGAGCCACCACACCTGGCATGCTTACTGTTCTTTATCCCCTCAGGTCCTTTCAGTCAATCACACTTCCCACTACAGAGCACATTGAGGACTAAACAACGGTTTTCCAGCATGACCTGCTTCCACAACTCCCAAACTGTGACAAATAGATGATGTCTGAGTATGCCCCATCCACAAGTGTTTTTATAAGCTCCTCAGCAAGTTTGCATATAAGCATTTATGTAAAATAAACCAGGCATTTAAGTCAACTTTTTGTGAAGCTTCTATAACATCTGAAGAAAAATTTAATAACGTTAGTTTGGGGACTTGTACCCAGGAAAGACTTCAGGTTGCAATTCAAATTGTAGGAAACAATACAAACTTAAAAACAACAAACAAGAGAATTATTTTTCTAAAAAGAAAGAAAATGCATAAGAAAAGGATAGCTAATACACTTCATACTGCTTTAAGGAGAACAGACATTCTGGTTTAATGACTCTCATTGAATTGGTTGTGCTCTGGCAAAGGGCTCAGGGCTCAGCACTAAAGCCAGACCCAGAGGGCTTTAGGGAAGGACGACCTGGTTCCTGCCCTCAGGGAAAGTAGAGTTATCTTCAAGAAGTAAAAACTGCAAAAACATGACAGAAAGCTGCTAACGAGGTGCTAAGTCCTGGAATGTGAACGAAGGTGGTACGGCTGCAGGTGTCTGTAGCAGAGGGAGAGCAAGCCGGGACATGGGAATGTGCTGCAGGAAGGACCTGCCCTTCATGGAGTGTTAAAGGGAGGCAGGTCTGCAAGGGAGAAGGAGAGGGGGCAGAATGAGAAACGGCCAGGAGGCATCTTCCTGAGCCAGAGAACAATCTAGTCTGGGTGGAGCAGAGGTGTTATGTTGAGAAACAATGCAATGAAGACTGAGCCCGGGGCACAGAAGGCCTTGAGCACCCATCCAAACCCACAGGAACCCCAGGCAGCCTCTGCAGCAGCCCTGCAAGTCCCTTAGAACCTGAAGACAGACAAGGCTCAGTCTAGTTCAGACAACCCTTAGGGATTCCATCAGTTCCATGATTCAGGGGCTTCCACTGGTCCTAAAGGAATCGCCTAATCAAAGGAATTATCCTAAGAACAGAAAATCTAGGAGGGGGAAGGAGCTAGCCTGGGTCTCTCAGTGCAAGGTGGTGGGCTCAGCGTCCTCACGGTAGTCTGCAGCCACTAATCAGCTTAGCAGACATGTGGTAGAAGGTCCCAGATGACCCTGTCAAGCACTCACTAACACAGCCAGGACCACTGGTTACTAAATTCAATGAAACATGATGAGCTTCCTTGGAGGTCAAAGTTCTGTTCTTGGTGAGGACTCCACAGAGCCCTGCCAGGGGTTTTGGAAACATTTGTCTTTACCTGTATCTAAAGTCAGAAACCCATTCAAACTCTTCAACCCACTAAGCCCACTTGTAAGAATTTAATATGAGGAAAAGTGCAAGAGGAAAAAAAAGGTGATACACAATATTTCGTAAAGTATGACTTGTAATGGAACCTTAAAATCAGCTAAATATTCCGAAGTAGAGAAGTTGCCTAGAAAACTACCATTCATGATTTGCCAAATGAATGGAATATCATGTAACATATTTAAAATACAATCTTGAAAGACATATAGAAATGTGGAAAAGTTATTTGGGATTGTGATAAGAGAAAACATCGCCTATGTCGATTATAATGACAACTAATTAAACTATGAATATTTAAACTAAAGACTAGCAGAGAAAAATGAAAATAGGGAGATTGTGCAGGATATTTATTTTTGTTAACTTCCTTTGTCACTTTTATTGCCTAGGATAAAAATATGCTTGGATTCAAAAAATCAAATGTATAGATTTGTCCATTTTTCCCATAGTAGTTGTTTCCCTGGACAGTCCACTGAGGCTGTCTGTAGCCTAGCTGAAACACCACACATCACAATAAAATGTAGACCCTATCGGACATTTCCTTCTACTCCAAACTAGATTTTATTTCAGCATCCCCACCTTTAGAAACGGGCCTGCCATTCACCTTCTAGTTGTCCTTGCTCCTCTGTCTCTTCCACTTCCTACATCCAATCTACCGCCAAATCTAGCCAGTATCAGCTCCCAGACATCTGCAGAATCTTCCACGTCTTTCCTCCACCACCCTCACTGGCCCAGTCCCAACTGTCCTGACCTCTTGATCTGGACTCCTACAATTGCCTTCTAATTCTTTCACAGTCCTTCTCCAAATCACTTTTCCCACTGCAGCCACAATTATCTTTCAAAAGGAAAAATCTGAGTATGTGACAAAAATTCCCCCACCCCACACCCACCTTCCACGGCTTCCCATGTCTGTTAGATCAGAGTCCAAGCTCTCTGGCATGGCCCGTGCGGACCTGGATGATCTGACTACCTGGGTCCCTCATCCTTCTAGTACAGTCACTCTCATCTCTTGGGACCAAGAGTTTTCCTCTGCAGCACTCATCAGAGCTTAACACTAATGTCATTGCCAGGACAAGACCCATACGTGTCAGTAGACTGAAAGCTTGGAGAGGGCAGGGGCTGCATCTCTTTGGCTTACCATTTCCACGACCCTAACACAATATAATCGACACAGAACAGATATTCAATAAGTATGTGGTAAACTAATAATGTTAATGGTCCTAAAAAGTCTCTCCTCAGCCACTATGAAGGATTTCATCATCTTATTTGACAAATTAAAAATATATACACAGTTATGTGTTACTTAGTGATAGGGACACATTCTGAGAAATGCATCATGCAGGGACTTCCTCCTTGCGTGAACATCCCAGAGTGTCCCTACACACACCTAGATGGTTTAGCCTACTCCACAGCTTGGTGATATGGTGTGACCTGTTGCTCTTAGACTACAAATCTGTACAGCCTGTGACTGTACTGAATATTGTAGGCAATTGTAACACAAGGGTAAATATTTGTGTATCTAAACATAGAACAGGTACAGTAAAAATGTGGTATAAAAGATGTAAAATGATACACCTGTCTAGGGTACCTTCTATGAATGAGGTTTGCAGGAGCGGATATTGCTCTGCGCGAGACAGGGAGTGAGAAGTGTATAAACGTGAAGGCCTAGGACAGTACTGCACGCTTCTGTCGACTTCACAAGCACCGTGTACTCAGGCTGCACTAAATCTATTTTAAACATTTTTTCTTCAATAATAAATGAACCTTGCCTACCTGTAACTTTTTTACTTTATATACTTTCAAATTTTTGACTCTTTCCTAATAAAACTTAGCTTAAATCTCAAACACATTGTACAGCTCTACAAAAATATTTTCTCTTTATATTCTTATTCTATAAGCTTTTTTCCATTTTTTTGTTTAATTTTACTTTTCAAACTTTTTGTTAAAAATGAAGACACTAAGCCGGGCTCGGTGGCTCAGCCTGTAATCCTGCGCCTTTGGGAGGCTGAGGTGAGTGGATTGCCTGAGCTCGCGGGTTCCAGACCCGCCTGGGCAGCGAGACCTCATCTATACAATAAATCAAAAAATTAGCTGGGTGCGGTAGCGCACGCCTGTAGTTCCAGCTACTAGGAAGGCTGAGGCGGAAGGATCGCCGGAGCCCAGCAAGTCGAGGCTGCGGAAGCCAGGAGCGGCCACTGCAGTCCAGTCTGGGCAACAGAATGAGACTCCAACTCAAAAAAAAAAAAAAAAAAAAAAAAATGAAGACACTAGCACACACATTAGCCTAGGTCTACACAGGATCATCACTATCACTGTCTTCCACTTCTACATCTTATTCCAAGGGCAAAAACACGCATGGATCTGCCATCCCCTGTGATCACAACACCTTCTTCTGGAATACCTCCTGAAGGACCTGCCTGAGGCTGCTTTATCCATGCTTTTTTTTTTTAATAAGCAGAAGGAGCACATTCTAGAATAACATAAATACATAAACCAGTAACATAGTTGTTTATTATTATTATCAAGTATTATGTATTAATTGTATGTGCTAAACTACTATATGACTGTCAGTATAGTAGATTTGTTTACGCCAGCACCACCATTAACACTAGTGAAGAATGCATTGCGCCATGACACTA